GTAGTGATCGTGCCATGAGCATCTCATCACTTTGCTTTTGTTTCTGATCATTTAAACTGTGCTCTCCACAAAAGATGTCTGTAATGATGCTTAAGAGGTTTGTTATTATGGGCATGATTATACATTAGTAAACAGCATCCTGACCCCTCCACACACCCCCAAATAAAACTAGTCAGGTTCCATTTATTTCTTATACAGTCAAGACCTCGTTGGAGCAACTTTTTAAAAGAATGATAAATGAAAACTTTCTTTACCTAGCCCATCATTTGTTCTGTAGACTTAATGACATTCTGCACTATTACACTCACTGCCAGGGCCTTGGGGGGAGAGAAAAGAATATTTATACATTGAGTTATGGCTGATGTAGGAGGGGGAAGAAAGAGATGGCCAGGAAGTCAGACTATAGAGAACAGAGAAGAATTTGAGACCTTCACTACACATGGATTAATCACAAGAACTAACCACGCAAGTCCAAATGGATATTTAGAAATCAGTGAAGCCTTTAAGATGTTCTGTGGGAAACACCATACATTTTCTAATGCATGAGTATGTGTAAAATGGTATGTAATTTATAATGAAAGTATTGACAGAACTTTAGCTTTGGTGTGGCAAATATGCTTCATATTATATTTACATATAACATTTCACATATATGTGGACATATGTACCCAACATATTTCTTTAGTTGGTATTATATTCAATGACTTAGGTTAGTTATAAGAAGAAATAATAAAGCTATAGTTTAGCTAATCTTACCATAGTTCAGCTTGGGGAGCTGCATTACTATTAAATTGGTTCATGAGAATCTTGCAATATTAATGCTGTCAAGCATGAAAACTAACTGGATTTGGATCAGGGAACTTTATTTATAGCATTTTTTTTTTAGGATTTATTAGTTTTAAGAGTGCTGTGTGTCTCATGGGTTCTTAAATATTTAAATCGAGTCAAAAGTTGTGTTTTCCCTTCCAATGACAACAATAAAAACAAAACCCCAACAACCACAAATAATTTTACATTAATTCAAATTTGCTTATACTGTCTGGAGATACTTGGTGAAATGATAGCAAACCATAGAAAGTTTTAAACCACACTATATAAACAGTTGGTTGTGGCTGTGAAAAAGTTTTTATAACGTAGCTCACAATTAGGAGAAAAATGAAAGATGACTTTTTACTAACACGGGGGAAAAAAAAACACTGAGCCCTTGACATATTGAACAAGCTAGTGTATTTTATATGTATTTACCTGGTATTCTCATGGTTTTTTTTTATTATTATTATTTATGCTTAAACTACTTTCTGTCTTTTTTCATCTCTTTGGTAAAATTATCTTTGTGGCCTATTTTTGTCCCTAAATAGTATCTGCAAGGTTAAGAACCAGGTAGTTTTGCTATAAGTCAAAATAGTTACAAGGGAACATCATCATGGTTCATTTTCTCCCCTGTTTTATTTGGAATTGAATTAGGAAATGAAAGTTTTTAACAGTTTAATTTACTTCTCCATAAAGTTTATGGAGCAGCAACAGCTGGTTGAATCCATGGCAGAAAAATCCAACTTCTAGTGGCCATGCTATTGTTTCAGAATTAAGGAGAAAACTCATTAACTGTTAATGAAAACACAGGGAATAAAAACAAATAGCACAGAAACTCAAGCAAATAATTACCTTACACCTGACACAAAGCTGCTTTATCTTTCTGCTCCAACCCTCCGAAATTCCCAACTTATCACTCTATGGAGCATGAATGAAATTGAGTTTGACTCTCAGGAAAGAACAATAGAGAAATCATCCCCTTATGGGCCCCTCAGCACGATACTCAGTGGAGAACCTGACAGTGAATATACTAAAGAGTATATCTAGCGCCTGACTCTTATGATAGAGGAGCAAATTACTAGCTAATAGCAGGTGAATTCTTGATATAGTTCCCCTAGATCTTGCTTAGAAATACAAAGAGAAGGGACTGGAGGTAGTGGGTGTGATTAATGGAGATATTGTGTGTTAGAATATATATCTGTATAGAAATATATTGATTCTGAGCACGTTACAATGGGCAAGCGTGTCTCTGGCGGCAGGGGGTCTTGCTTGGGGAAAGCCGCTCTAAGCAGATGGAGTTCTAAGCCCTAATTGTAGAGCTGCTGAGTGGAAATGTCTGTCACTATAGTTTGTGATCATTTATGTCTGATCCCTCTGGACTTCAGTAGTAGCCACTTGGAGCTGCGATTGTCAGACTACAGATGAATCCAGAGATCAATCGTGGCTATGCTGTAAGAAGAGCAATGTTCTAAACTGAAATCCAAAACGAGCACTGTTATTGCTGGCTCTTCTATGAAACTTTTCACCCATGCATCTTGAGTAGTTGTAATCATTGTAATTACATGGGAGTAGCTATTTAGATAGCATTATAGGGGTTTTTTCCCTCTGTTTGTGCCCAAGGGAATTGGGGCACTTGATGTGACATTCAAAACACTTATCACAACATTTCCATCATCAGGAACTAATTATGCTTGCGTGTAAAACCTATTTTTCAATATTTTCCCACTGCAGCCAGCCTTAGTATTGACCTAGACGCTGTTTTTGCTGCATTGAGTTCTTTACTTTTGTTGTATCCTTTATAGGGACACAGTCTTGCCTTTGACACAGGGGTGGCCATTAAAAGCCTGTCTTGGGTAACTATGCCCAGAAACCGTAAGAATCATGTGCTAGTAGTTTTCCATCAGAAATAAGTCTAATGCTATATCTAGGAAACTTTTGAATGAGGCTTTAAAAAGTAGAAGTTCTAAATTCGATGTGATATTCTGAATTCTGTCTTAGACAATAGTGGAAGACTGGTTAAATTCAGTAAGCCTGTGGCTTACTGAATAGGAATGTACCCATTTATTTAAGTCAGCAGTTGGCACTGGGAGAAACTGAGTAAAAAGGGCATTGTATTCCTTTGTAATACTTACAATAAATCTAAAATTATTCTAAACTAGAAAGTTCATTGAAAAAAATAAAACAAAGCCCATTCTGTCTGTCTGCTTATTAAAATAAAAAAGCCAGAATAGGTGAGAGTAAGTTTGTCACAGTTTGAAGGCAGACGAGCCCAGAGTGATCACTGGTGCATAATGTTCAATAGACCCAATAAAAGTTAAATTTTGCTTGACATTCCAAACTACTTTTTAAAAATAGATTTATTTTTGCATACTGAACTGGGGCACAGGCCATAGGTGCAGGGGTGGTTAGAGGCTTCGCCAGAGACAGAGTGCGGAGCAGAATAGGCAGATTGATGAGGTACACTGCTGAGGGGAGCAGCGGGCAGGTCAGGAGAGGTCTGCCGCGCCATGTGGATCACCTCCGGGGCGGGGATCGAACTCATGCTGAGGTGGCTTTAGCTTCTCAGTGCTGCGCTTTAACCCACTGTGCCACCAGGGAGGGCCCCAAACTCCTTTTTAAAAAAATGAGTTTTAAGTTGATTCAAACATTTTTAATTCTTTTAACCTGACATCACTTCCACATTACCTCTCAGGCAGTCCATTTAGTTTGTGTTGATGAAATATAATTTCAGTGGATTTGCAGTGATGTAAAACTTGAGCACTTTAACCCTCAGTCCAGTATTGAGGTTTTTCAGATCATAATGGAAGTTTCATGGTGATACTTTAAGCATAACTAAGTTTGTATACTAATCAATAACCTAATAAAGGAGAAAATGTCTTCTGACATCAACCAGTGACTGGTGTAAGGTTCTGTTTTAATTTTACTTTCTTCTCCACAATAAACTCTAGTTTATTTCTGAAATCCTGTATCTGCAGGTTCAACTCAGTTATGGATCTGTCCCTGAACATTGGTAAAAGAGTCTAGATATGAGCATCTAATTTATGGCAAGAGAAGGCTACAGTCACTCTCTTTTTATCATTTTATGTCCTCCCTATCCTTCTACTTTAATTGTAGGAAATAAACCTTTAAAGTGAGGCAATACAGATTCTATGTAGGTTGTTTGGTTTCACTGCTCCCTAGTTGAAATCCACGGCCAAAACTCTACAGTATTTACTGAGCTTAGCATTGACGATTTCCTTGGAAATTAGTATTTGAGATAATATTAAATTCAGCTGAAAATCCTGTTTTCATGTTTGTGAAATGAACTGAGCAGCTGTCAGTGTCCCTTTATCAGCAAACTGTACCTCTGTTTGGGGGATTTTAAGGAAAGCCATTTGCAATTCAGAGCCTTTTCTTCCGGTTTCTGAATGAGCTACATCTTCCGTCTGAACCTTTTAAAGTATTATAATAGGATGGGCCACTTCTACAAAAATATAATCCAATGTATGTAGAAAACACCCAAAAGGGATTAGCACCATTTTAATTGCATAATTTAGTATTGTATATACATTACCTTTCATCAGAGCCATTTTGCAGAACAAATATTACCTTCCTAGGGCTTTTAGAATTCCTAAGAGGTTGGTTGCATAGGCTGTAAACTAGAATTATAAAGAGAACTTTCTTAAGATTTCAAAACAAGTAGTGATTTCAATTGAAATAGAATCCAGCAAGTCTAGGTTCTCTCTCTATTTACTTCTCTTGTGTTTTAGAGAAGGAAAGATTATTAACCTTGCTACTTTATGTGTAGAAGGTTAAACTTTTGGGTAATTTATTCAGTCTCACGTGGAAATATGAAATGAAAGAGGCAGTCAGGGTATACAGGCTGTCATGAATGGGAACATAGTATTTGTGAATACGTGTTTACATAACTATGTTTTCATTTTAAGTATAATGGAGAAGTTTCTCTCTGGTGGTCGAGAGGTTCTCCACTCTCAGCTGTAATTTCTAAGTTAGTGAGAAAGATCACTGAGTGAAAATTTGACCACTCAGGTAAGTTGGCTTTTGAACTTTTACCTGTTTTTCATATGTTAATGATAGTGGTGGCTATGTCCATCAAGTATAATGGTTTATCTTTTTTTTGTAGGAAAGCCAGAAGAAATTTCAAAGACCTTTATAAATATATTCCAAGTATATTTCTGCTTTACCCCCAGGGGGAGACCAGACTGAAAATTACCCTGGACAGGACAGTTCCGATGATAATCACAGTGGGACCCATGGCACGTTCCTTGCATCAGAGGTACCATTTCTGCCAGATTATCAGGATGAGGGTGAGTGACATCCTTCTGGATTTTCAGAGACCACGCTTGCTACCTTTCATGCTACAGTCTTGGCTTGTGTCATTTCGGGTCATTTCGTATCCAGCGGTCTGCAGTGAATTCTCTTGACTGGTGATCACTAGTTTGCAAAAAACTATTTGTTTCACATTGTGCTGGTTCTCCTGGGTCATTCAATACTTCTGAAGTTAATGTATTTAGGGAAACACTTACTCCATATTGGAGCAGGAAGACATCATTATTGATCTTTGCTTAAGAACTGCAGCTCCGAAGCTAAGAGGGCATTTTGAGATTTCAGGGTCCACTTTTCATTCTTTCAGGTTCCTTCGTTGTACTGAGTTACATGAGAATTGCAGCTTTCACTTAATGATTATTGCTTCATTAGTTTTGTTGTAGACTATTTGAGACCGAGCTAATCATATTATAATAAGATATCGTTTTCACCTGCGCTTGTCACATACCCCTGGTCGTATTGGTGTTCAAGGGGAAAGGGAAGCCACAGGAACACAGCGCAAAGCTTCCTGGAGTATCAACTTTGATTTGAAGACTTGGGAATGGGAGGAGTAATTCAGCTGTCATATTAATAATAAAGTGCATTGACAGGCAATAGAGTGGGGTGCAAAATATACATAATTTTTTAAGATATATGAATATAAAAATCTTGGTCTGGTGGCTGCCAGTTTCTGGCTCACGCTCACTATCCCAAGGGTGGAGTTCACTGTGCCAGCCCTGGCATCTGGCCACTTAAACAGAAGGTCTGATCATCACTGGTGCTCACGGTTATCTTACCAAAGTCTCTTTTGTGCCTTTCCAGTGAAGGGAAAAGGTAGGAATGCTACTAAACATGAATATTAAATTGCAATCATATTATTCTCTTGGGGATTGGGAGAAAAGTTGGTAAACGAACTCTTAGTTCTCTTTATTAGTCTGTAATCTTTCCATTTATTTTTCTCCCAAATTCCCCTCAACTTTGGCATTTTCCAAGAGTTTTTAATCCCTATTTTCTCTTCTCTTTCTACCTTATCCATTAATTGTTACTTTTTTAACCCTTGGGCAGTTCATATTTTCTCCCTTTCCTTGAATTGATAGTCATTGGAACAATGACATCAGTCACACAAAAACATTGTATTTTGCCTGAATTTTGTATACTAGCCCAATTGATAGTTCCCAAGTCTTGTAAATGTAGGATCTTTATACTGATTCAGGTATTACAGTAAAAGATTATTTGGATTGAACGTTTAATGATTACATTGATAGCTGATTAATAATTGTAGAAAATTAACAGTGCAAAACATGAAGAAAGCAACCTTTCATTTGTTTTTAATTAAGCTAATGCTTGACAGAATTAGAACAATAGCACCCCATTCATCCATGGGTCATTTATTTGATACCTCCAACTTCCCCAAACACAGCTGAGAATATAATAGGCCTGAAAGATCTCAAAGTGGAATAGAAGTAACTGAGTCCCAGGCTATCATTTATGTTCCTTACTCTGGGGAAAGCCCCTGACGCCTCACTGGGGACTCCTCTCCTTACAGACTTCTAAACATCATAATGTTTGGTTTGCAGCCTACGGTAGATTGACACATACAATCAGAAATACTCTAAAGGCATCAACTAACAAATAACACAGAGATAAGAAATAGGAAAGCAGAATATACAGATAACATAACATTATCTAGAAACTCAAAAAAACATATGGCCATATGGTATTGTAGAGAGAAATGGCCCAGACTCTCCTGAAGAATTCAGTACCTTGATCAATTAAACCTTCCGTAGTTTATTTATTGAACACTTACTGAGCATTTCATATACACTTTGCATATGTGCTCTCCACACATCATTTCATCCTGAGAACAGCCCTAGTAGGTAGACAGCAGGAATGTCCGCATTTTATAGATAAAGAAACTGAACCCCAAGGAAGTTAACTTACCTAAGATCATCAGCTAGCAAGTAGTAGTACCAGGACTTTTACCCACACAGTCTAGAACCTCTGCTCATAACCACTGTGATACTCTGCTTTGAGTTGTCTCAAATAGTAGATTCGTGTTCTAGACATTTTGGCTAAACCCCTACAGATATACATAAGAACCTTTAAAATATTTTCATTAAGCTGGAATGTTGCATTTAGTGAAATTTTCTAAAGGTAGTGTTGAAAGAGATAAACCAGTGTCTGGAAAATTCAAAGTAAAAAGCTTTGCTCCATAATAGTGCTCCATAAGAGAGGGATGAATTATATTAGTAATATTAAATTCTCACTTAGTAGACTTTTTTTCTAGTTTTCTTCATAAGTTAAAAGAATTTCCAAAGTGATATAATCAGTGATAGAGGTAGGAAGAAACTTATAAATTTATGTGGTAAATATTTAATTGTATGGTGATGAGATATGATATAGTTTAAATACGAATTACTGCACACTCTCGACACTAGCATGGTGCCTGAGTGACGTATGATGGACACAGTAAATGTTTGCTTCCCTCCCCTGGAAAAGAAAGATATTATATTTCCTGTGAAATTAATGAGACAATAACATGTAAAAATTGTCAGTAAACTTTATATTCTGTTTTACTAGAATTTTTTTCATTTAAAAAGTACAAGCCACCTGTAACCTCACTGCCCCGAGGTGATAGCTTCATATGCTATTTCTCCTTTATTTTGTCAAATACTTATTTGGTAAAGGTCCTCACAAAGCTTATGATGAGCTGTAAAAGAAACATGCAGGGAACAGCTCAAACACAGTCCCTGCCCTCATGGAGTTGACATTCGCTGGGGAAGCAGACTCCTCGGAAGCAGGCACATGGGCACATGTGGTGTCAGGCTTTATCTGCTGGCGAGACAGGCTGCGGCCACCCTCTAGGGGGAAGTTAGCCTTCAGTTAGCCTTCTGGGACTTTACAGTGATGGTGATTTTAAACTGTAGGAATGTTAGCTTTACCAGAAAATGAAAGGTGACTATTAAAATACTTTAGCCTTGTTGCCTCCCACCTCCCACCAGAGCAGTGTCCAGACTTACAACTATAAAAGGACACCTGGTCTGGCCCATCTACCCGTAACGTCGGTGATGAGGAGCAGTGAGCATAATGTGTGTCGTGTTTAGCTCATGCTGTTGTGAAAACTGCAAAAAGATCCAGAAGACTATGGAAACCTGGCCAGGTACACACCAAAAATTGAAAGCCAGGGTTACAGGCTAAACCAGGCATCAAAATGAGAGCATGTTGCTGCTTAACCAGGAGTCCTTCTCCTGTTCCTTGGTAAACATTCTCTGTTTGAGGACAGCAAGTTGTATCCTACAGAGGGTCACCACCAAGGGTCTCTCTGTCAGGAGAGAGAACGTATTCATGGTTAATGATGTTCAGATGTTTAACCATAAAAAGATGTAATTTCTGCCATATTGAATGGGGGGGAGGGTTAGTTTGAAACACTGGATATAATAACTGCAAAAGCCAGCCAGCTCTGCAGCTCAAGAGCTAACAGCCTTCATTGTCCAGAATTGTCAGTAGTTTTTGCATACATGCCATGAATTTATTTCACTGTAAAGTGGAAAGCCTCTATGCACACAGATTTTTGTATTTTCATACACCCATGTACTTACATTTTTAAGAGATGAATTGGAGAGAGTGATCATTCTATAAACCAGGGTATACTGACTCCTTCTGGAAGAAAAAGGAAAAAAGATTATAAGAGAAAAACCCAAAATTATAATATTTATTTTCTGTGTTTTCTTATATTCTAATTAAAGAAGAGGGAATGAATGGATATTTGACAAGAAGAAGTGGGAAAATGTTTTTAGAGTTTATTTTTAATGTCAGGATGTAGAAGGTCAGAGAAGGTTCTTATTTTCTGGCCAAATGAGAAACAGCATAGGCAAACTAAAGACCTGTAGCCACCTTCGGAGAAAAGTAATAATGAATAACTGAGTCTGGCATTGACCAATTTAGTGTGTGAAATTGTAGCTCTGTTGATGTGCCAGTAGTGGCCATTTCAGCTCCATGCCTGTTCTGAAAGTTACATTTAAAAATACAAAGAATATCTTCAAAGAAAAGAGTTATAGTTTTATTTTTAGCATTTTTTAATGTTTCTCTGCTTTCATTTTCTGAAATGTGTCAGTTTTGGATGTAATATTATGGGTAACAGCAATGGACTAGTTTTTATTGATCATTGTGGGGTTTTATAATAATATAGTAATACTATTACTAAATAAAGGGTACTAAAGTAATACCTCCCCTAGTGTGAAAAAATTTTTAAATGAATTATTTTACTGTTGTGAAATGAAAACGAAGCCTTACTTATTGATTATATTTTTTGAGTAGAAGTCAAGTTTGTCTTAAACTCTACTGAAGTTAAAATCATGCAATGGGAGATGTTGAAGTCATGTAGTAGTGGGGGCCTCTTACTGAATGCTAACTGCAGTGCAAAGCGCTTTTTGTGGATTAGCTCATTTAGTTTTCATACCAGCTCAGAAAGGAAGGTGCTGTTATTCCTGGTTTTACATAGAAAGAAATTGAGGCTTGGAGAAGTTGAGTAACTTGGCCAAGGCCAACCTTTCTCAGTCTGGAGGGTGGCAGGGCTGGAGAAATTGAAGCCCACAGGGCTGCTGCTCTTCTCAGAGTTTTGGCCTGCTGTGGGTGCCCAGAGCTGCTCTCTCAGGGGCTCTCGTTTGCCATGTTGATGTTTTCCCACTGAGCCTCACATTCATTCAGAAATTGAATACATTTGAAGCTAAATCTTTTCCTCTAAATACTGCTTTAACTGCATCCCACAAAAGTTGGTGTGTTCTGCTTTCATTGTATTCATAATTCCCTCTAAGTATTTTATAATTTATTTTGTGATATCCTTTTTTAACCTCTTTGTTAGGAGCATTTTATAGGTTTATCCTGCTTTTTTAGTTTCTAGGAATGTTTAAGCCTACTTTTAAATTTTGGCTTCTAATTTAAAAAAATCACATTATTGTCTAAGAACATAGTCTTTATTATTTTGATTCTTTGGACTTCATTT